TACTTATCACGATACAGTTTATAACCATTATTACAATTTGTAATGCAAGATAACATTTTTAATTATGAGTATAACAGTCAAGAGCATATCTAATAAAATGTCTCTACTTAGTATATACTGACCTAATAATAATAAGTGGTATGATTATTGGCGTGTATCTCACATAACATGTATCATTGTGATTACACGTATTGTTGTCATTTGAGTGTAAAATCAAACATAATTCATTTAAGAATCTGTTTTGTTTATTCAGTTCTTTTTATTATAAATAATGATATACATATAATGTTGCTTAATCTAATTTCAAATCAAATCACTTAAAACATAGTTTGAACGTGTCCTCGATCGGGGATCATATAATTACTTTTTAAATAAAATTTTCATTTTGATTATCATTTGATTTTTTTTTTTTGTTTTTCCTCTCATATTTCTGTTTTCTCTAAAAAATTGAATGACACTCCAGATTTCACAACTCATTGAAAGTATAAAAAAACTTGGTCTTTCACACACATGTATAAAAAAAATGGTAGTTCTTTATTACAGTATCAAGTAAGTATAATATACACATAAATAAAAATATATTATCTTACTTTTTTTTTCAAAAACTCAAACGCGTGCTCCAAATCTCTAAAACGATTTAAAATAGCAAAAAAAAAAAAAAACTTCTTTCCCCTTATTCAAACAATTGTTTAGTGGTATTTTTGAAGTAAGCTATTAAGTTAAGAGAGTTAATTTTTTTCTATAACACGCATATACTTATATGCATGTACCGTCACACACAACTTTCATTGTTATTAAGATAATGTTGTAATTAAAATTTTTTTCATTCCAATAATCTTTCGGTAGAATCTTTAAATTGCTAGTTCAAAAAAAGATATAAGGTGTTTGGGCGAGTAAATTGTTTGCTCATTTATTACTTGTGGTTAACACATCTTGTGTATACTAATTGTAACATACGTATGTAATGCTTTGAACACTAAATTTATAATAATTATTTACAACTTGATTTGCCAGATAAAGTTTAAATTATTGATAGTGCAGTATGATGAGTCAAGTGTTTTTCATAAAAACAATTTACTATGTGTTTAAAACTTTTGGACTTGCTACTATGAAACTCAATATAACTTTAGGAAAGAATAACACATTTAAATTGTATTTTACTCATTCATGGGTTGGTATAATGTATAATGTAGTTTTAATATGTTTTATAATAGTTTTTAATTATTTAACATACTCCGATAGATTTCAAAATTTAAAGACTAAATCTGTATCCGAAATTGCAATAGAAATGCTACGCACAATATTGTTTATTTTTCTAGCTATTCTGATATTATTTTGGTTTTGTAGGTATTACAAAAAAGTGACCATAATAGTTAATAGATTTGTAGAACTTTTTGAACTTTGCTTAACGATGAATTTGAAAAATTGTGAAAAAATTTGTGTGGTGCGTGCCATGTTACCAATTTTTTATGCAAACTATACTCTATGGATCTTTTTACTTTGTGCTTTTTATGTTCATCATCGTGAAAAAAGTTACAAATTCCTTACATTTTCTACTATTATAAGTTTCTGTGCCATGATATTAAATCATACTTTCACTCAATACAGTTGTGCATTAAAGTTGATCAAGTGCATGTTTGAATTTATTAACGAGAGTTTCTCTCGAATGTCAAAGAAGCGCAGACACATGGCGGCCACTCGTCACGATAACATCAACGACTTCCCACATAATTTAATAGTAATCGACGAGATTTCTAATTTACATTATTTGCATCTGTCACTTTGTGAATTGTCCCGAGACTTGTTGGATTTCTATGCTCAGCCAATATTACTTGGCATTATTTATAAATATGTTGCATTTATATACTTTGCCTATTATTCTGTGACTCCAGTGATAATAAAACAAGTTGGTTTACATACGAGTTTATTGCAACATTCTCATGCTGTATTCTCGTTAATTCTCGCCGTCGTTAATCTAATAATTTTTACCCAAAGTGCAACGGAAGTTATTTTTGAAGTAATAATTCTAATACACAAATGTTTGTTAAAGTATTCCATTTAAATAATTTTTTACACATTTTTAGAGCCAAATTAGCGTAAGAATTTTAAATAAATGGCTAGTAGATCTACATAACTTTAATGACCTAGCAATCGCTAACCGAGTAAGAGCTATCTGTTGAATTTAATTTTTTTTTTCCTTACACAAAATTAATTATATTATTTTTTACTATGCTAGGTTAACAAGTTCTTAAAGTATTTGCTACATCATGACATGCAGTTCTCATTATATGGACTATTTACAGTTGACAACTCGTTGTTGATGGCCGTATGTTGTTAATAGATTAATGTATTATGTATTTGTATACATAAATTTGGAAATATGGGACCTCAAACTTTATTGTAGTAAAGAGAAAATATATTACATCAAACCCTCATTAGATTTGTCTTGAGGCATCATAGCTCTCACTTCGTAATAAAAACTATTTCTATTGTTTAAAAACCTGCAATATCACACTCTAAAGCGTGGAGCTCAACTTGTTATAAAGGCTTAGGCTTTTTACCTCATACTTAGTGAAAGATAAAAATTTTGAATACAATACAACTCAAAAATATTTGAGTTTCTGTATTGCTAAGTAATACATCTCAAATTTTATTGTAAACTTAAAACACCAAAGTTTAGAGATCTTATATTTCTAAGTTTTTTCTGTGAATGTATACCATTATTAATAAATTATTTCAAGGAAGAAATTAATTTTCAGATTGCAGGCTCAATTAATACATATTTAATGATACTTATTCAATTTCAACTGGATGAGTAAATTCAGCCAATTTGTAAATATTTAATATTTTTTATGGCAAATGTTTATTAATTATTATTTACATTTGTTATGCATAAAAATGGGTAAATATTATTTATAAGACCGTGGTTACGCCTCAAAATATGTGTATCATGACAATTTGTTCCAATGTTTGGAAATAATTAGCGTATCTTATAAAATCTTATAATTGTATAGTACGAAAGCAAATATTATAATGTACTTTGAAAGCTATTGTTCATGCTGATTTATAAATAATACCAAATTAAACTGATCAGCACGTATAAAGTTCTATTGATGTTACACTTACTATTTATTTGAATAATACTTACACATGATTGAATACCAGAAATCTATGTAACGTACAAAAATTATAAATAAAACTAGTCTTGGCTATAAAAGTTATTAAAACATTTTAATGTATGTATTACTCTTTTTTAATAGTATTAAATATTTATACGTACATTTGCTTATTTTGATATGAATTTCCACATTTTTTATTTACATTGAGTCCTTGTTTCTTATGAATAAATTTACCGTTAATAGTTATTCAATATTAATTAAAATTTCTTGTACATAATTTAAATATTTTAATTTTTAGTAATTATATTAATTGGTTAGTTTTCTTCACTCCAATTTTGGATTGCATAATAGCAATCATCACAACACAACGTTTTGTATAATATAAAAATACAATTTTTTTGTTTCACAAAAAATGACGTAGTTAACAAACAACATTTTTAAGAGTACAATATGTCTCATTCTATGTCGGTTTCAATCACGCTATTTATACGAAATTCGTGTCTTATTTACGCATGTGTATGTGTGTGTGTGCTTACATACGTGATAGAATTACGTTTCACGTCATCAGATTAGTACTAATGGGACCTACGGCAACGCCAAGTCATGACTTAAGTAATTTTCAATGATGAGTATTTTTAAACATATTGAACCTATCTCTCTAAATTAGACTTAGTGAAAATTTTACTGTTTGCATAAATAAATAAGGCTTTCACTGGCAAAACAGTAAAAAAATGAGGGTCTTTTATTCGCACTCAGTCGATATAAATTTTCATTCTAATATTAGTCAGTACCTAATCCAATAAACGATTTCAAACTTGAAAGAAAATAAATGTGCAACCCATCCATATTGTATTTAGTGGTATACTAACAATTTTACCAACTATTTCAAATAGTGAAACTTTAACGAGTAGAAATAGTGAATATTGACCATCTCAAAAAAGTTATGAGTACTGAACTTTAAAGTATTAAAATTTCCTCTATGTAAGTAGTGTATATTTACTATTGTGAAAAGTTAATAGTCACAGTTATTTCAACTGTAGAGTAAATGTTGCTATGAAAATAATCATATCTAAAGCTTAGTTTGCCATGAAAAACTAAAAGATATTCAAACTCAATTAAAATTTTCAAAGTTATAATGGATTAGCATTTAAGTTACTAAGTTTCACTCTTTTATGGTCACTTGGAATATTGTGTCATTCACGAATTTTAAAATAGCCTACAGACTTTATGTACGTTTTCTTTCCCTAGTATATTCTTTACATTAACTAGTAATGAAAACTACCAAGAAGCTATACATTAAGTATTATAAATCTATTAATGCTGAGCTATGATTCATACAATGTAAGAAGAGAAATATGTGCAAGTCAGTTCGATAACACACAGTCTCGATTTTGAGTGCACTGTGCAAACATCGGTTTTCTGTGTTACTTGAAAAGCTGTTTTGTTGTGATTTTTAAATATTCAATTGTAGCTCTTTAAAAAATTGTAAAAATTCTGAGTTCAAAGTTTTTTCTGCACTCGATATTGCTGTAAGCGATGGTGATAGAATATCATGAGGTAATTTTTAAGTTTAATTTTTAAATACTTTTACTGTAAACTTTTTATTGACTTATCAAAAAGTCAAACACGATATCATTATAAAAATGTCGAATGTTATTACAAATATGTGCTGGAAAAATCTCTCGCTATAACTGGCAAAACATAATTTTGTTTTGCCAGTTATAAACATAAACGTTTTGAATTTTCCAGTGGTTCGATAAGTTAAAATTATGTTTCGTGCAAGGAAAAAAAGAAAAAGTGGTGGCTATGTTACGCGAAGCGTCCGACGACGTGAGAACGGAATCGTTACACGTTATAGCGAAAATCGACTCTAATCATAGTATGGCAGACTACGTTGCCCACTATTTGATAGCCACCGGTTGCAACATCAACTCATTAGACCACTTCGACAATTCGCCATTGACAAATGCGATTGAGTCGAATAGGGTCAGCTTGGCCAAAATCATCTTGCAGGCAGGTGCTGCTCGTAGTAATTGTTGTTACAAGGATGGGTACGGACCCCTCTTTTTAGCTATTAAAAATGGGCACATTGGCATGGTGAAAATGCTTCTGAAAATGGGATTCAGAGTATCCGACAGGAACTTTGTGAATGAAACTCCGTTACATGTTGCTGTTAAGCTCTATTCAGGTAATATATACAATTTAGATATATTTTTATCGTTGATTATTGTCTGGGCACTTTTATAATTGTATTGTTCGTCAAAAAATAAACATAATTTTAAAAAGGATTTAAATTATACTTAAAAGTAAGCAGTGTTTTTGTGCGCTCACGATCGAAAAAATTAAATAACCATTTAATACATCATTGGCACCGTGGTGATACCACATGCCGTACCGTAAAGTTATTTAAGAATTTTCGCCGGATTTTTGCGAGGATTCTAAATAAAAAAAAAAAAAAAAAAAAATGATTTGAGTTTACCTCGAATAAAATAACGCTTGGTTGTAAGTACATAATTTTAAGATGTATATTTTTTTTCAACAGGTAACGTGAGAATACTACAAGCTTTAATCGACGCAGGTGCAGACGTAAATGCAAGGAACAAAAAGGGTTGCACACCCTTGCATTTTGCTCAAAACGAAAGTGCAATGGAAGTGCTCTTGAAAAATGGCGCAGACGTCCACGCAACGTCGGACGTGGGTGAAACGCCGTTGCATACCATCGTAGCTGGTGACGTAAATCTTAGGGCGTTGAAAACCCTCATCATCGCTGGAAGCAATTCAAATTGTCTCGATAACAAAGGAAGAGGCGTAATTCACAAATCGTTCATGACCTTTCGTCACCACAGACAAGTATTAAAGATTTTGGTGGACAATGGTGCTTCTGTCAACACAATCGACCACGATGATCTCGATCCTCTCACTTTCGGCATAAAACAATTGCAAATTGATACGCGTCATTATGACGATGATGACGACGACCACTTTTCTGACGATTCAAATCGGGTAAGAATAACTTGGGCCCAAACATTACACAAGATACGAGAATATCGAAATATTTTTAATCATCAGGCAGCATGAATTTTTGAATTTCTACATCTGTACTTGAATACACAATTGATTGCATTTCAGATCCCACTTACAACTGTTTGGATGGAAGAATTAATAAAACTCGGTGTGAAAGTATCCCGGAGAAATTTCAATAAAAGTCCTCTCCGTTTCGCTCTTTCTTACGCTCCCTACAGTGGATTAGTGAGCTTTTTACTAAGTAAAGGAGCAACGTTTGACTTCAAGAACAGATTCGTACTTGATGTATTGAATCAAGAAAAATTACGTAAAACTAGTTATGTTTTAATTAGTCACGCTGCAATTTTCATGATAAAACATGTAAATAATGGACCAAGAAATTTTACTGTAAAAATATTGAATGACCAACAGCGGAGTTATTACGCTGAATGCATTCGTGAACTGAACTTTATGAAAAACAAGAAAATACTCGAGACGAACGTTACTTTGCTTGAACTTTTTCTGGATAAGTCTATAGCCCGTTACGCACGAGATGAAATTATGATAAGTGCTATAGAAATAGAGCTGAAAACCACACTGTTGCCGATTTATGGAAAAAGATTGGCCAAACGATTTTTTGACGAGAAAGAGAAACAAAGTCTTACTTCAGGAGCTTTTAGAGGTCTCGAACGTGTTTTGAATATTAGTCGATATTCTTGTATAACGATTTTTGATAATATTAATAAGTATTTAAATGAGGATGACATGGTTGCCTTGTCAAAGATTTGACGTGTTGACAATTTTTAATTCGTTACCTGTGCGTGACTTCGTTTTTGTACGGTTTTCAGAAAGTGCAACAGTAAAAAGTTTATTTAATTATTCATTACCATCTGAATTGGAAAGATTAACTTGTCAGTTACTAGTATGTTACCTAGTTTACTGGCTAAACAATTTTTTAATTGACATTGAACTGATGCGATCGAATGTTGTGGAACGCCAATATAGAGGTGCTAGATAGAGACGTAATACATCATCTGGAAAATTTTCAAAGGAATATTCCAACGACGACATGAAAAGTTTGTAATACAAAATGACATTAAATTTTCAAAATAAAATTATTTTAGTTGTTGAATCATTTGCTTAAAACTTTTACGCATAACCGACCATCAATCGTACACGTAGCACTCTGCTCGAAAAGGGCTCTGTGTTCGGTCTGCTATTGAGTATATTACGTAATTTTTAATAATTAAAAATTTTTTCAATGAGTTTTTAGAATTATTTCTATTGACAAACTAATCATTAATAAGTAGACTATTATCATTAAAAATTTTATGGTGTAAAACATATTTTTTAAGGGACATTATTGATAAGTAACAAAAAAGATGTAACTAAATGCATTTGTGTTGAAGTTGAAGTTACCAAGAATATGGTAACGAAAATTAAAAAATTTGACATTATTTTTTATATTTGTGATTGTCCCAAACAGTATATGTGTATATTTGTAAGATGTTAGATGTTAGGGATGTAATAAAAATACAACAAAAGAATTTAGACATACAAAATCATTTATTCATATAAAAGGACACTTTATACTAGAACGTACTGTCTTAATTCTAGCCTAAGGTCTCCGTAGTCGGAATAACCGAGTTGCTGCCGACTTGCTCATTATTCGACTATCACATATAATATAATATGCCGCGATCAATGTGTACGTAATATTAACGTCGTGTAATAAAAAGACGAATTGGTCCTTGTGTTATAAAACATGCTCTTATAATAAGTATATTCTTATTTTTAAGATAATTGCAAATTAGACCAATCGCCTAGACGCACTTTTCGGTGCTGATGTTACAATTCTATTCGAGTACTTTAACGATATACCACGCTAAAACTTAATTTTAATGGACTTGTGTCCTTACAGTACACCGCGCAATCATACATAATTTTTTTTTTTTTTTTTTTTTTTTTCGTGTTAATTACTTTGATACATTGCTATCTTGACACATTTCCTTAATGTTATAAACCGCTATTTTTATGAGCTTACACTGATATATAAATACTATGAACGATTAATTACTAAGAGGGACGTTACGAGTACGTTAAGGGTAGCTCCAAAGTCAACTCGTGCTACGCATCTCGTGATCGCGAAAGTCGCCCAGGGGACTTACGAGCGACTAACCGGATGATGCGCCGCGAATCGGTCTTGGAGCTTTGATCATGGAAGGCTGAAGATTTGCTGATTGAGCAAAATGTACAAGCGACAGCCCATCCGAGTGTCCAAGTGGTGGAAGCTCCCATTAATTTAAGTCTATCTGATTGTTTCGATGAAAAAATAAAAGGCATAAACATACAACATTATGTTATGTTGTCTAAAGTAAAAAGTCATCATATTAATAATTGTTTAACGAAAAAGTTTCTACTCGTCGGACGTCTCGGAAAAGTTGTTTCCTTTCACTTTTGGGGAAGGCGAAGAAAAAAAATAATTTACGGAAAGTACGGATAACAGGCTGTTGTTAATAAAAAAAAACATGCCGTCAATCTTCGTCTTCTCTCCTATACAAACTGCTGTTTATCTTATGCTAAATAAGTTACTGTATTTTCTCATTTTGTGATTATAAAAAAAAAAAAAAAAAATTAAAGACACACGACTTTAAATAATATCATTGTAATTACATAATTTCTTCCGTTTTATTATTTAAAATAATCGTCTTGGGAAAAAATTACAAGTGCTTTACTTCAATGCCTTTAAAACATTATTAAAGAGTATAAAGGGATCTTATAAATTATTGCATATTTATATTATTTATATTTATGTATATATACGTGTGCGTAACATACCTACGTCATTAATTTAATGTATTTCTCACAATGTCAGCTTGCCGGAGAAGCAAATTGTTAATTTATACACATGGTCCTCCGTGCGAGCCGCGAATTTTCGTTTTAAGATTTCAAATTGCGCATACGTGTTTTCATTATTTTTTTAGTTCATTCTTATTCAAATCATTCGTTTATTTATTCGCTTGTGGTTCATCTCTATTGCTTACTAAATTTTTCACTATTACAAGTTAAAAAAATATTTACATAGTAAAAAGAAATTTGTTTTAACATTTTCTTTTTAATGTGTTCATATAACTTGATGTATGTCGCTAAACTTGCTACAAGAAGGTATACTGTTTATTATACTGTTTTAAAAAATGATAGAACAATACAACTGACGCTGTTTTTACCTTTATGAAATCGATTTTAAAAAATTTTTTATTTTCATTCCAAACATCATGGCAAGTTGGTTTGATTTTTTGTTGTTTTAACGAAGGCACAGTTGCAAGTCTTTAACATTCTTTACCTTCGTATGATTATGTTTGTGTGAGTGTTATTGATCCAGCGCAAGATTTCCCATCTGTCGATTCGTTTTTTCTTAATCACACTCAATACTTTTTACTGTACGTTTAGCTGTTATATTTTGGCACCACAAATTTTTACGCTTCCGTTCAAGCATTCATCCCCATTCTTTATTATTTATAATATTTATGTATAAACTCATGTATATATATATATATATTTTTAACACTTCACGTTAAAGATAAGCGTCTTTTAAAACCACGACTGAATGGCTCATCTCCTTCGTTTTCTGGCTGCAGCATGAGCAATCATCTCTTTAAGCATTGGACTCGCAGAACAAGCTTTGGGTTCACACTTCATTTTTCCATCGCCACCGCATCTAAAAGAACGGTTAAAAATTTATTCATTACTTGTTTATTAGATTACAACGTTTTTTTATACATTAAAAAAAATTATTCTTACGTGCAGCCCATGCAAGGTCCTGATTTGGACTTTATATCCTCCCCAACTCGATAAGACCTATTTCCTATTTGGCATCCTCCTCTTGTTGCATTTCCTTTGTATGCATGAGATAAAAAGTGGGGTGGTAACGTTGTCGTTGTTGTCGTTGTCGTTGTTGTCATATTAAGAGATCCTGCCATAGATACTGGGCATTCGTACCTTGGACAACAGAATCCGCCAATTGGTTCTTCATGACAACCGGGAATTGGTGGTGGGCAGCTCTGTTGTAAACAAATAATATCACTGCGGAAACAGAAACAAAAGTCGCACGGATCATCACGAGGTATTTGTTGAGCTGACATGTAGATTTTGCCACCGTATCTACATGTACCCGGTCCATACACTGCCTGATCGTCGTAATCCTCTGCATCTGAATCTTCGTTTTGATTCTTAATATCAGCACCATCTGGAGGGAATATGTGCTCATCATCAGTTTCTGATATTTGATCTGGGAATTTAGGACGAGTAAAAGGATGCGAGGGAGTTGTATGGTGTTCTATCGGTTCTTGACTTTCTGTATCGTGAGGGCTTAAAGGAGTTGGTTCTTCTGTCTGATGGGCATCAGTGTGATATTGGTCATCTTCGGGAGAAATCACTTCAGGAGAAATTATTTCGGATGACTCTGTACTCGTCAATTCGTCTTGTGGGACTTTAGAACTTGATTCTTGGAGATCGTGCGGGATCATTGGTTGTGATTCGTTTAATATACTTGAATCTGGTGTTGTTTTTTCCGAAACATTTGAAGATAAGCTTTGTTCTTTTTCATCTGGGTTTTCACTAGGCGTTGAAATACTTGAAGATGCGTCTAAAGTGGGTGCTTCTGTCGACAAACCTTTTTGTTCATTGTCTATTAAAGGTTCATCACTACTTAAGTTTATTGACGTTAGTTCTTTGTCAGGAGACTCAGTCACTTTTTCAGGTGCCTTATCGATTGTGGTTTCAGTTGTTATTGGTATTTGTGGGGAAATTTCTTCATCAGGTTGATTTTTCGTCTGATCTTGAGTCGATGTAGAAACTGTTGTATCTTTTTCGTTACTAAACTCACTTGTCACCTCTGTCCTTTCTACTTCCTGAGTTGTACTTGAAGGTTCTTTTGGAGATGGAATTGGTTCATTTTCTTTAAGCTCTGTGGTACTGATTTCTGAAGTTTCTTTCTTTTCTTCAGAAATCATTGGTGGCTCGCTTTCTTCAGATACTCCAGTTTTAATTGATGATGATTCAGTAACTTCATCATCAGACGATTTTAGAGTTTTATTTTCAATGTCAGTAGGTAATTCTGTTGGTTTTATCTTAACGTCATCTTGTTCTGTAGTTGATGAAATTATATTTTCTTGACTGGAGGTTTCAGACTCTTTACTTATTTCTGTAGAAATTTCACTCACTTTTTCATCTGATTTACTTGTACTTATTTCGACATCTAGTCCATCAACTGATTCTGTTTTATTACTTTCTGGTGGAGATCCAGTAGGCGTTTCGTTAGTGATCTGGTCAGAAGATTCTGGTTTTACGCTTGTTTGCGGTGAATATATTGACGAACTCTCAGTAGTAGATATTTCATTAGCACCAAATGATGTTTCTATCGGAGTTGGTGAAGTTGATTCATTATCCTCTACTGAAGAAGTGGTGGTAACTTGAATGTGTTCTTCATTTATTTTATTAGTATTTTCAATCTTGCTAACTGATATTGTGGATGACGACTCTTCATCAGGTGTAGCAGTATTTATTGATTCTTTTTGTTTGTCGTCTGCTGAAACAGTAGTCAATGCTTCACTTGTAGTAGCATCCGGTTCCACAGATTTTTCAGTCGTATAATCTTGTGGTTCGATTTCATCTAATTTTTTCACAGGTTTGAGCGATGTTGAAGTAACTTGCTCATCTGCGGATCCTGTTGAAGACTGGATTTGAATTTCTTCTGAAGTTTGACTTATTTCATTCGTAGGAATATATTCTGTTGAAGAATGCACTTCTTCGGAATCCATAGAGTTTGAGTCTGGAGTTGTTTGTATTTCTATTGGAGCCAAGGTTTCTTTTTCTATTAATTTTTCCTCTGATGTAGATAATGGAGCTTCAGAAGAATCCAAGTAAGTCAGTTCAGACTCTCCAGATGTTGATGTTTTTTCAGTAGATTCGATAGGTTTGTTTGTTTCAGCAGATTCCATAGAATAAACTGTCACTGGTTCTGCAATGTCTTTTTCATTTGGTTTTTCGTTATCATGAATTTGTGAATTTGATTTTTCAGTGCTTGAGTTTTCTACTTCTATTTTGGTTGACTTACTCAACTCTGTGGATGTTTCAACTTGATTTTCCATATCTAAAGATGATTTTATTGTACTTGTCGAAATTTCAACAATCATTAATGAATCTTCGCTACTTGATATTTCTTTTGATACATTTTCTTCACTCTCTGTTGTTTGTTGTGGAGTATAAATTTCACTCTGTGATTCTGGCAACGGTTCAGATAAATTGGGAATTTCTGTTTTATCTACGCCCAAAACAATTTCAGATTCTGTAGTTGATGTTTCAAGAATAGAATCTACATTTTCGTTCTTATTAGTTACAACTTCTTCTACCGACTGATCTGGCAGCCCCTTTTCAGCAGAATTTGGTTCATTGTTACTTTCTCCCAGGGGACTTTCAGATTTTTCTGTTGGTTTTGATGTACTCTCCGTTTCTCCTTGAACAGGAGAAACGGGAGTAACAAGATCATCTTGAGTACCTTCACTAGAAAAGGTATTATTTATTTCAGGTTGTATTTTAACAGTTACGTCGGACTGTGTAGATGCTTCCTCGACATGAGTTGATTCTTCGACAAATGTTTTTTCCGTAATCTGAACTTGACTTTCATTAGAAACCGTTGTATGTTGTTCAGATTTTTGATTATCAACTTCTAATTCTACACTAGGGGTAGAATCACACGTGTATATAGGGCAACATGATTCCATCTTGGAGTATACAGGAGTGCAGTTTGGCAAATCAGATGGTGGAGGAGAACATTTGACGACTTCACACTGAACAATACTACTGGCGCATCGACAACTTAATTGGCAAGGATTCGCTGGGGGAATAGCTGAGTTATTAACGTAAGATTGCCCGTCAACAACACAGTTCCCTTCCCCTGGAATATGAGAAGTCGGTCGCTTTTCAAGATTTTTATCTACCGCGATTTCTGTGGTGTAGCTTCCAATAAAATCAGATTCCGTTGTATGACTAGATTCTTCTTTTTTCGAAAAAACTTCACTTGGTATACTTTGTTCTGTAGATGTATTAAAATTACCAATAGATGGTATTATTTCATTAGTTGGAGTTTCATGATTATCTAATAAACCTGTCATGGGAATTATACTAGACTTATCAGTCTCCGTTTCACTTTTTTCAGTTGGCTTAAATTGTTGTTCTGACTCTGTGATTGAAATTTCTTTCAGTGAATCTTGATCTTGAATCTTTGTTTCTAAAGATGGAACTGTAGATGACTCTGAATGCGTTGGTGAGACAGATTTTTCGTCATCGGAATTGACTGGCTCAGCTGTGGATTCTTCTTTATCAGATACTGTTTTATCCATAGTTGGAGATTCCGTACTTTCTACTGGCACAGTATCTTTTGAATCATCAGAAATTTCTGCTGAAGTTTCAGTGGCTATTTCAGTCAATACGTTGTCATTAGGAAGCTCAGTAGGCACTTTGAATTCTGTAATATTTTCAGTCGATTCATCCAAAATTTGTTGCACTGTAGTGTCATAATTCTCACTACTTGATTTCGGAGTTGTAAAAGTCATTAATTTTTCTATGGATTCACTAGTTGTTTCTTTAGAAGTACTTTCCAAATTTTCTATTGTCATCGAAACATTAGAGTTTTCAGTTGTAATTGCACTTTCTTTAGAAGTGTTATTTTTTATCTCAAACTGGTCGGAAGTAGATGTTTCTACACTAGAAACAGATGACTCAGCATCACTTTTTTTTATCAACTCTTCTGTCGTCTCAGTGGTTAATATACTCAATTCAGAATTATTTGTTTCAGTTTCTTCTGTTATTGATTGCTCTGGTGAAATAGATAACGTGCTATCTTGCGTTAAAGGTTGATCAGTAGGGTTTGCAGATATTCCTGCAACTGTACTTGTATCCTTGGTATTTAAGTTTTCTTCCGGTAAATTCGTATCTATTTGAGAAGTGCTCGTTTCTTTAGTTGGTGATTCTGCAGCAATTAATTCTTTATCTGTCTCTTTACCAGTACTTGTGTCGATTGGTTCTTTCTTTTCATCAAATACTTCATTTTGAGGCACGTCTGCCTTACTGATTGGAGATTTGGGTGTAATAGAAATTTCTGTGGTCAGTCCTTCCATATCTGGTTCCTCTTTTGGAAGATCTTCGTAAAGAGGAGTTGACGAATGATAATAAATTTCAGTACTAGAACCAAGTGGCGGTAAATATGTGGTTGCAAAGTCTGGAACTTCAGTTTTCAGGCTGTCAACTTGATGAGACATTCCACTGCCAGTCGTAAGATATTCTTCAGTGACTTTAAAATCGGTTACAGCGTCTTTGTCTTCCGCTTTGTGTTCAGGAACTCTATCTGGTATCGAAATACCTATCGGGCCTTGCTGTGGCATTTTTTCAATGATAGGTGTAGGTTTTTCGGTGTATGGTGTTTCTGATGTTGATTGCGAAATGATTTCATCTTCTGATTTTACAGACGACTCATCGAAAATCGTAGGTCCTAATGTTGATGATACTTTTTCTTCTACAGTAATTTCGTCTTTTTCACTCGTTTCTGAACTCATTTTCATAGTACTTTCAGTACTAATTTCCGCAGAAACTTTTTTAGTTACATTATCTTCATCAGAAGTCGACGTTTCCGTGCCATCCAAAGTTGTTACAGAATCAATATTCTCATAATATTTATCTTCGCTAGGAGTCACTGTTGAATATTCAAAGTTGTTTGATACAGTAGCTTCTGCACTTTCTTTTTGTTTGTCATAATCGGTCGCAATTTCAGAAGTTTCTTTACTACTATCAAGTTTTGGTAGAGTTTGTGTTTCGTTTGATTGATCATAATTATGTGGTATATCTGTTGCTATACTTTCTGAACTTGTTGTGACTTCCTCACTTTTTTCTCGTTCTGAAGTTACTTCATCTTTAGTTTTCTGTGAACTTGATTCAATCATGTCAGTATGATCATAATTTGTTGTAATATCTTCATGTGCAGAGTCTACGACTTTATTTAATTCCGTACTAGATGCGATAAATATGCTTTCAGACGAATCCTTAATAATGGTTTGCTGTGTCGTTATTTCACTAATGGGACTAGATGATTCACTAGATTTTTCTAACTCTTCAGACATAACAGTAGATGATTCTTCAATTTTATTTGTAACAACATGAAGCTGATTAGAGTCTATACTTTCAATTGTAGAAACATGTGACTCCGTAGAAGTTATTTCCGGATTTGCAATCTGTTTTTCTGTCGTTGCTATACTTGTTGAATCTTGTTCAGATACCATTTGGATATCTTTTATTTCACTTGGAATTGTTGTAGGTGCAATTTCCAATGTTTCGGGTTCTGAAGTATCTTTGGTACCTACGATCGACATCGTTGTTGATTTATGTTCGTCACTTATCTGTGAAACATTTTCATCCTTTATTGATGACGAAATTTCAGTTAGTTCCGTTGATGTCGATGATAGTGTATCAGATTCTTCAGAAGATTCTTTCTGTTTATTGTCTATTAAAATTTCAGACGAATTATTAGCCGTGGTCGATTCTGAAACTTCTGCAGTTTTTTCACTATTTGGTTTAATAGTGGTATAAATTTCTTCTGGAATATTTACTTCAGTAGCAGTCGATTGTGTGGGTTCTAATTTGGAAACTTCGTTTCCTAACGACGATACTGTTTGTGATTTATCAGTCGTAGATACATGTTGCGAAATTTCTTCAGGAATGGCATTATCTGATCCAGGGAATGTCTCTGGCTCCTTTGCAGTAGATTGTTCGAAATCCTTTTTATCTGTGACTTCAGGTATTTCTGTTGCCATGTGTCCAAGGTCATCTTCTATAAATCAAAATTCATTAAAAACATTTTTTTTTTATTAATGCAACTATATATCAGAGTGTTATTAGAGTGTTATAGATAGCTCAATAAACTGTGCTGCTGTAGTAGCATAAATGAAGATAATGACTTATCGTTTAAATAAAGAGTAAACGCTTACCACATTGATAGGTAGTTGGACAGCATTCACCTTCTGGTGGTGGTAAAGCCGTACAGTTCTTGTCGTGAGATTCCATTGGCTTACCACATTCCTGTACTGCGCACACGATTTTACCGTGGAGGCAGTAGCAATGCTGGCACGGCTGTATCATGTAGATAAGCTCACCGTCTTCGTAAACCTTGTCTTCATAGTGGCACTGTGGGGGGGCTGTGTAAGGCGTCGTTTCCGTTGTAGACGTCGTAAAGATGAGACCTGGGGTCGTACCAACCGTAGTTTCATATTCTTCATCATAATCTGTGGTACAAGTGAAATATTACGTTTTTAGTGAAACCTGTTTTATATTCTCAATAATTTTTTAATATGAGCGATCTATCAGTGATGAATAGCAAAACAGACAAGATGCGAAATACCTTGAGTAGTACACAGGTAACTTACCGCAGTTATACTTGACTGGGCAGCAGATTCCAGGTTGATAAATTGGTCTGCATCCAGAGACAGCTAATGTGCACTGTTGCATCAGACAGGTCGTCTTGTTCCTGATGCAATAGCAGAGTTCACAGGGGTTATTAGGATCGATGGGGAGTTGGGCACCATCGGCCAAGAAGTGATCGTTTATATTGCAGCCGTAGGTATCGGGGAATCCAAGCTCGGTCGAGTTCGAGCCATCTCCGGTGATTAGGCCACTTGTCGTTGACAATGAGGATGATGTGGATTTTGGTGAACTTGTCGAGGTGAGCAACTGCACAGGGACCTCTGGGCATGTGATGACCGGGCAGCACTGGTCCGGTCGCTTCTCGGCCGTACAGTCCTGGCCTATGGCTTTTGTGAATGGACACACCCTTAGATAACACATTAACATTCGATTGTGGCACGTGCAGTTTAGACATGGCTCGTTCGTAATTATCCGTGCACCCTCTTGGTAGTGTTGGAAATTGTAGTAACATCCGCTGGAACCTAATGTAAAATGTCGTCAAATGCTTGTTGAAAACATGTGTATACTCGAGTCAGTGGCATTGATTTATAAATTATTTATCACGATGCCTACTACGTCATACCGTGCATAAATAATGATTATTTCAATTGAAAGAACTGTAATTGTAAGACTATCTAATTTTTCAATTAAATCTTATTACAAAAGAATTAATGATTTTTAGCTATCAAAAAAAAATCAAAATCATAAAAAAAAAATGAATCAATGTGCAATAAAGAACAATTGTTTACCTGCGTCGTACTCTGCAACCTGTGTCGAGTCAGATTCGTAAACTGGCGCTGTAACATAAAAAATAAACGAATTCTCATTAGTCACTTGTTATAAATTGGGTGAAACTAATATATTGAATATCAGTATATTTCTTTAATGGGCCATTTTTCATGTGAGATGGGGACTAATAGACACAGCAGTAGTAATAGTAGAGTCTGCTACTGTGGAGTTTGAACAAAAAGAATACGCATAAGTCAGACCTTGCTGACGATTTCGAGAGCTTTTTCAATTTTACCGCGTCTCCGGACATCTTTGTTAGTAAAATTTTTGTTCGTACGTGATGTTGTACGAACAGCATGTGTTACTCCTTTAAGTGCTCTCAAATGCTCGAATTTTACTGAATGTATTGCGTGCACGTGGCCGTGTGTACGTGGTTCTCGTCAATCGTGCTCTCACAATTAAAAGTTAGATGGCAAAAATAAAACGACTGGCAGCGCTCCAAAGCCTTTGAGACAATATTTAGCGATTTCTTCGAAATTGAAATGTCTCGCGCAGTTGTGCGTACAAAGTGGAGCTGTGACGTGCATTGTCAAAGCCCATCGAGAGCTCGCGTCGACGCCTCTTCCCGTTTCTCCGCACGTTTTTCTTTTCATCGAGTTTTCTCTTCCACTGCCAATGTTCAGCTCCCTTGGTTTTTGTACGAATCGCACCCAAGCTGAGACTCGATTCCTCGAGCTCCAAAGAAGACTTTTAATTACGGAAAAGAAATAAATTGCTTGTCAAGTGCTTTTGTTGGCTCAGCGATTTTTTTTTTTTTTTTTTTTTTTTTTTTTTCTTTCAAGGCAAGCTACTCTCAGCTCGAGTGGTTTTTGTAAGAAAAGTGATTGAGATGAATGAACACGGGTATAGCCCAAGCGACTGAGTGCCGGAGCGAAAAAGGATTGCCCCTGACACTCGCACGAATGACGTGTCTTTTAAGGAGTCATTGAGCTTTGCGAACGAGATTTTGAAGAGCACAGCGCGCGATTCATTTCTCGGGGTACATTTACACATAATGACTCGTAAGGAGTCCCTAGGAACATTTTGTTTTTTTTTTCGTCTGCCTGTCGCTTATGCGTCACGGAGTGGAACAAATTAATGTTAAGAATATACATACATGCAACTTGCAAAGTTTTTTCAGTTTTCTAATTTTCCGATTCTTTTCACACGAATGATGTACTTATGAGTTCTCAGTTATTTCAGAGTAACTTTGCTTCAATTTCCAATGAGAAAAAAAAAACTTGGACACGGGAATACGACCGCCTTGGACTCGCGCAAAAAACTGGCACCACGAAAATTACCATACATAAAACCCCTCCGGTCTCACGCGCATCGACGCTCCAATCACGGAAATTACCCGGCTACATCACTCTACACCGCGCACGTCCTCTCATCTATGTAAACCCAATTAAGTCCCTGCTGGCGCGACGGCGGAAGAGGCGCATCTCACGCGAGCGAATGAAAAAAAAAAAAAGGAAAAAAAAGAAGCTGTGGTTGCGTATACGTATCGACAGAGATGAACATGTCAGCCGGTAGCAATATGGCGAACGACATCCCGACGCGTGGAAGGGGCAGAAGAGACGTAATCATCGGTATTCCTCGGGAACGCGAATAAGCGACAGTTTCCCGCGAATCGCAACCTCGGCTACAGGAGCACATACATACATGCCAGACCCATACGGGAATGCACACTGACGCATGCCTCCACGTATCCCTCGCGCCTGCACGCACGCACAAGAGACCCCGCTGTTGTTACTGCCGGTAAACTTTCTATTGGCACTTGGCACGCTATCCCTTTATTTCCTTGGCTACAGCTACTCGTGGTGCTCCGAAGATGTTGCGGCTCGTAATCACGGGACCTAACGACACAGCCTCGATCCATCGGGTAATTTTTCGAAGCTCCGATTGACTGGACCAAGTCTGATGATCAACGAAACAAAAAGAATCAAGCCCACAAATCGCGAACGGCGACGCGCGATGGGAGTGATCTTCGAAGCCAAATACCGTTCGCCCACGGATAACGAGCCTACATACATACGTATAGTTGGTTCGACTGACATATATATATATATAAACCCAAAAAGCCCCAGCCCCCCCCCGTATCTCGATCTTTTCGGTCACAGTCCGCGAACAGAGGAATCTCGGAGCAGCGATTACGCGCGTCGATCCTCTCGCCCCATATATATATATATATATATATGTATATCCTTATCGACAATGGTTAACGGTATCTGTACCCGCGAGCCCGAGCACATATAGGTACATGGGCGCTGGACAGCTCGTTTGCCTCGTCTATTTTTCTTATCCGCGCTTTTGTACTCGCCAAGTGGGCGTCTCTGCGCGTGTGTGTAAAAATCACAGGGCGGATCGATGGGCCGGACACCCGTGTAGCTTTCAGCGAGGATCGACTTACGACTCGAACGCCAAACATTCCTTGGCGGATTAAAACGAGTATACGATTCGTTTCGCCCCGGATTTTTGATTAATCGCAGGGTATATGTTGCGATAAAATGGTAGAGCTCGAAGAAATAAAGGAAAAGAGGATATGAGGAACGAGTGTAGGTGTACGTCGACGCGATAAGATCTGCGAGGGTGCATTGTGTGTTTACCGATCATCCGTGTAGACCGCATATTACGTATAGATCGGAGATCGGTAAGTAAAAACTGTCGGGTGACCTCGTTTTTCGCAAGAAGCGCCATCGGGAGGAGAAAATTGTCCATAAAAATGGTTTGAACAATGTGGGAAACCACATGCACCGTGCGAGCATATATACGGAATCACGCACACACACACACACACGTGTACGTTGCACATATATATATATACGGTAGTCGTGTTCTTATCATCCGCGGAATCGTTCCACTTATAAGTTTCCACTCGCATACGTGTATAAATATATGTAAATGGCATCTTTCGGGTCGAGGTATGCGGCTGCGGACAGATTTTACTTTTTTCTTATACCCTCTGACTCGGCCATTTCTTCCTCTCCTCCTCGTGGACTATTCGCATTCAAATGAGAAAAAAAATGATGCCACCTCTGTTTTGCCTTTCAACTTTTACTCGATGAATAATAGCGATTGGCACACTAACGTGCTTTATACAAGAATTAGACGCTGCTCTAAGTACGGATTAAACAAATTTATTGTTCACGGGTACGCGGTACACTGAGAGAAAGAGAGAGAATAGGACTATGGGATTCGCGTGGTGCAAGGCTGTGGAATTAAATATTTTGCAATATCTTATTGATGCGTATAATGTATATTTATATTTTAATTTACGAAGGGACAATCCATACGCTGGTCTATGAAACCGACTGAAATTTTGACCAATGGCCGAACAGGTTATTTTCCAATTAAGGATCTATGTCAATCTCCGTCATTGTACAGTAATTCGCGAGATTATCGTCGTCGACATAGTACACGTATACACGTGTGTACGTATTTAGGCACACTCGTTTGGCCGAAACGAAAAGATGAATTGTTAAGGGGATTAACCGTTGCGGGTCTCGAGAGCATAGTACGCGATGATGCCGGGTTGGAGGTGATTCGGCAAATTCGATTATTTTCATCAACCCACACGTTCTCACGTTCGAGTTTCAATCCTTGTACTTACACATGGAAATATATTTTTTTTTCATCTTTGTACAATGACTAGGGTTTATTGAGATTCGCACCTGCTCCGTGAGTATAGAGATCCGTATTTTACGAGTCTACATTTTTTTTTTATCCTTTGAGCTGACGTAACGCGTAAAATACACATAAAATCGGTATACACGCGACGCGCGGATTAACATTGTACATCGGGTGAATTCAATAAGATGATTCACAGGTTGTTCCGTACACACATTGTTGTCTAAACGCAAACGAGACGAGCCACGATAATTGCACCTATACACCCGCGGTGATGGTAATTCAAAGTTAATAACGCCGATCGATCGCGCAGTCGAGACTCGCCAATCACGCGATCACCCGTTACATATATCTTCCTCCTTCGATCGGCTGCATTCTTTTTTCCCACAGTAATTAGAAAATCGCGTAGAGGCACGCGGACGCGTAATGAAATTATAACTGGGAAATCCAGATTACACCAACGGCAGAAAAACGACGACGCATGTATTAAAAATGATCTCGTTCACAATGGGCCGATTAACGCGCCGGTTTATGTACGAACCGCGAGAAGCGCCGATCGATCCGCTCTTAATTATAAGCCGTACATGTATACAAAACACGCCTCTTTCGCTGATACACGTACTGCCGTGCGACTACAGGTGGCAGCTTTTATTAATGTGTGTATGTATAACTACGTACCCGCTCTTCAAGATCAACGCTCGCGCGTGAACTGGCTTATATATNAAACCTTGCGTGACTTTTGTTTTCCCACGAAAAAAAGAAAACACGAGCTCAGTATTGTTAAACATTTCACCCAGGAGACTAGAAATGCAATAAAAATAAATGGTATTTTTTATGACACACTTGCACGATCATTTGTCTGATGACAGATGGCAAAATATACAACCCAAGGCAGAGAGTCAGAGAAGATGAAGCTCTCCGGCCGATCCGTAATGGCACACAGGTCCGACCGGAATATATATATATATACCCGCGGCGTGTAGTTAACACACAGCGCGCGCTCCTTTGCTCCTCGTTCCCGAAGATCGAGATATACACCTCTGTAATCGGCCGGAAGCAATCGAGCGCCGTTTAGTGGCCAAGCCGCGGCTAATAACGCGATATTTTTTTTTTTGTACAAGCGTCACCTATACGAAGGAGAGTTGCGTAACTCCACACGCTGCGCGTAAAAGTCTTGCGATCGGTTTGTGCGAAATCTGTACGTATGTGTTCCGTACACGTATGCATACGTAGGTACTTGGGTATTCAAGTGGGACTCCCGGGGTGCATCGGGCATCGACGACAGAGGCATCCTATATACCTTTCCGTCCCTGGTACGCGGTGTCCGTCCGATGTTCGCGTCTCTCGAGAACCGATACTTGGCGGCGGGCTATATACCTACATACACACCGTGAGTCAT